GCAGTAGGGGCTGATCAAGATCTCAGCCCCCTCCCTCCTCCAACTAGTAGTTGCAGCGAAGGCCAAGACCCTCCTGGTCTTGGTGTACCTTGTGCCCTTGGGGACACCAAGGGCCAGGTATCTTTTCTCTCTCTCCCCTTCCTTTACTAACCCACTCTCCATACCTCTCTCTCTCTCTCCTCTTACTCATACCCCTCCCCCCACCCCACCTTTTCTCCCACCTCTCATTCTTTTACTCTATTTACTTCATCTCTTCTTTTCTTTCCTCCTTCTCTCCTTGCTTCATGATCCCTCTCCACCTTTCCCCAACCCTCCTCTCCCTCAACTACCACCACATCATCCCCCCACCTCCCACTTCCTCTTTCTCTCTCCCCCATCTATTTCTTTCTCTTCTCCTTTACTTTTTCATTCTCATTCCCCCTACTTCAATTTTGTTTTTTTTTTTTCTGTTTTTCTTCTTTCTATCTCTCTTTTGATTATCTTTTCTCCCATTTTTTCCAAAAATTTGAATCATCTTTTCCCCACCCTCTTTTCTGATTTTCTTATTTATTTCATTTATTTTTCTATTTATTTTGAAAATTCGACTTTCTTGGTGGCAACCCTAAATCTAATTAGGTGGTAGCCTTTCTTGCTTTCGACACACATTTTGACCCCGTGGAGGTAACGAAGTGCTACCGAAATTTTCTGATTTTTTCTTACTTAGTCTTTTCGGCACACTTCGACCCCATGGGGGTAACGAAATGCTGCCAAATTTTTTGACAAATTACATACTTCATTCCTCCCCACCTCCTCATCCACTTACTTACTTATTTATTTATTTATTTATTTATTGTTTGAATTTTTTTTTTTTTTTTGCGGCATCTTGACACCTAGTGTGCTCACCTTGGTCTCTCCCTTCCCCTTGGCACATTCTTGACCCCGTGGGGGGTAGGGAAATGTTGCCGAAAAATTTCACAAAAATAAATATTGTTTTCCGTTTAAATCTTTTTACTTATTTCTTTACGTATTTTTATTATTTATTTATTTCCTTATTTATTTTTTTTTCTCTCGAAATCTCGCTGTTTATTTATTTTTCTCCCGCCTTCCCCCCCGTATGCTTGCTCTTTTACTTTCTTGATTAGGTCACCGGTACCCTACCCTAACCACTTAAACCTCGGTTAGCGTTTTCTTAGGGTTCTGGTAGGGTTTAGGGTTCTTCAAAACCCCCCTACTTCCCCGTCCTCTTCGGGCACCTTGGACCCGAACCACCTGTCCCCCTTCGACGGCGCCCGTGCTAGCCTTGCTAGCGCCGTTCGCCGCTTTCTACCGCGGACTTCCCCGTACGCCCTCCCCTCACGCGGACCTCTTCTGGCCCCCTCCAGTCCGGTCCGTCATCTCCCCATTGTCGTCGGTGTGTCACACGCCGCCGACACGGCGATGACCACGGCAACGGACTCCACACCTATGCCGGCGGACCAGGGCCATCAGCCCCAGGGGGATCTGCACACCCTCCTCACCTCCCTCCTTGCGCCCATCCAGGTGCAACTCGCGACCCTTGCGCCCATCCAGGCGCAACTCGCGACCCTCGGACCCTTACAGCCGCCGGTGGCGACCCTTGCTGCCGGCATGCAGCAACTCCAGGATGTTGCGTGTCCTCTATCTCCTGGCCTCCAGTCCGGGTCCCCCGTCCTCCGACAGGGTGATCACGGCGGAGCTTGCTCCTCTGTCGCCCCCGACCCGGCCATCTTGGTGACTGTCCACGCCCCTAGCACGACGGCCGCCACGAGTCAGGCCCTCCCTCAGTCCACGGGCGCACCCGCCCAGATTCTGGTCACGACGGTCACGGGACTACAACCCGCTACCATGGTCTCAGCTTTTCCGGGTGCCCCACTTCTCCCCCCTCTTCGCACGACCGCAACGCCATCTGGCTCTACCCCTTGTGGGATGCCTCGCGCCGCTCGTGCATCTCCTCCTGCCACACCTCGCTCGACCTACGTTCGAGGTCTCGAGGACAAGATCGCCCAGCTCCGGGCCGACCTCACCCTCTCACGCCTTCAGCCACCCGCACCCTCACAGGTGGCCGCGCCTTCCGGCGCACCCCCTTCGTCCTCTGTTCTTCCTTCCATGCAGGCTCGCTTCCCTCGCCCTGCACCCTACCCATCTCCATCCTACCTCCTCCCTATCCCCTCGGTTGCTGCGACCTCTTCTACCGCAGCTCCCGCGCAGCCTGCTGCTGTTTCCCCCGCCGCTCCACCATGCGGCCCGGGCGTACAGTCATCAGCGCCTCGTCATCCAGGACCTGCGCCGACTTATTCCGCCGTAGCGCAGTCCCCTGCTCCCCGTTCCCCTCGCCGCCAAAACGGTGGCGCACCACTCATCCGCTTGTCGGACATTCCCTTGTATGACGGTACAGGCATACGCGTGTCTAGGTGGCTGCAGTCTGCCACCCGCACGCTCCAGCTCATGGGCGCCACACCCGACACGTGGGTGGGTCACCTCTCCACTCGCCTGCGTGGTACTCCTTTCGACGCCTGGGAGGATTTCTATGCTTACTCCCTGCGTGAGGGTCGGACTCCGACCTTCATGGATTTCCAGGCGTTCCTCGAGGATCGCTTCGGAACCCGATATGACGTGACTGATGCCTTCGAGCGTGTCGTCACTACACGCTGGTCCGGCTCTGGTGGCGCTGCCGGCCTGGATCGCCACATCCAGGTCTTTCAGGACGCCCGCCTCGTTTGTGACGTGGCGTTCCTTCCCGAGGCTGCCCTTGTCGATCGTTTCTTGGCCAGCCTCCTGCTCGAGTACCGCTCCGAGCTATGGCGGTACAAGTTCACATCGGCACCGCAGGCTTACGAGGCCGCCAGGAACCATGAGCGGATGCGAGCCCGTCTTCATCCCGCCTCCTCCTCCCAGCCTCAGCCCACGGGTTACGCCTCCTCCTCCTCTCACGGCACTTCCCAGCGCCGTTCCCCTTTCCTCGGTCGCCCCCGCCGTTCCACGCAGCAGGGCCGCCACTTCTCGCGCCGCTTCAGCACGCTCGAGTATGGGCCGCAGGACGTTGGTGCCCCGTTGTCGCCAGAGGGTGATCATAGCGAAGACCTCGACCTCGGCGATGTCGTTCAGCACCACCTGGAGGACCCTACTCTCCCTGTGGCTGAGCGCCTCCAGCTTATCCTCTCCACCCTTTCCCGGGCACGCAGCCGCCCTGGTCACGCTGGCGCGTCGCCCCCCGAGGTCCCTCAGCAGGACCTCCCTCAGGGCTTTGTTCCTCCTCGCGGTGTCATTTCCGTTGAGGAGCGCGCGGCTATTATGGGCCGACGTGGGTGTTTGCGATGCCGTCAGGACGGTCATACCTCCTCGCGGTGCCCTTATACCACCGCCCTTGACTGCCACTACGCTGACCTTTCCCGCCAGCGTCGTGCTCAGTACCCCCCGGCGCCTCGCATCCCTGCGGCGCCTCCTAGCCACGGTGCAGTGTACACCTGCGCCCTCCTCAATAGTGGGCTTCCCGACATCTCTGTCGCGGTTCGCCCCTCTCGCTACTGGAGTTGAGGTATGGCAGGACTCAACAGAGTGTACTCAGCCCTCTGTCGCAATACCGTCTACGTCTCAGCAGACCACCGTCTCCCCTCCTTCCCCGCCGCGACTACTGACGCGTCGAGCCATTCGCTCAGCCCGTTGCAGCGAGCAGCTCGCTACTCGCGAGGACGTTATGTCCTCTCTTCTGGACTTGAGCATGCTCCAGGCTCGTCAGGACCGACTCACCCTCCATATGGCTGCACTGCTTCGCCTTCTCGCCATCCTCTCTGACCCTGATTGCTCCCTCCCGATCATCCCAGTACGACTCGGGACCTCCACGAGGGTGTACTCCGCGCTGTGGGATTCCGGTTCTCAAGGCGACTTCATTCACCCACGCGTGGTGAAAGAAACTCGTTTACCCACGACAGGGTCTCCGACTCCCATCTCTGTTACCTTAGGGGATGACAAGAGTCGGCGCTTCTTTGATCAGACGGTCACCGACCTCCCTTTCTTCCTCACTCTCGAGCCGACTGATCGTTCCCCGGCGTCTCGTCGCCACCGCTCCTCTTCACATTTCGATGTGATGGAGACGGGGTACGACTTCATTCTCGGCACCCCTTGGTCTCGTCGGTTCCGCAGCACCGAGGCCGATTGGGCGACGAACACCCTCGTTCTCAAAACGAAGTGTGGACAGACGTATCGCGTACCTTTCATAGGTACCACCACGACACCACGCCCCGATCCTCCTCCCCCGGAACCTTCCGTGCCCACACCACCTCCCTCTATCACTGTCACCTCGCCTCGGCAGTTCGCCCACTTCATCCGACAAGACGACGTCACATTCGTTATGGTGAACGTGACGGATCTCTTATACTATGATCCACCCTGTCCCAACGCCGAGCTCATCCCTCTGGAGCCAGATCCTCCTTCTATCTCCATGGCTCCCATCTCTACTTTCGTCCCTCCGCCGTCCGTCGAGTCCACCCCGCCGTCGCACGTGGACGCTGACGCTGAGGAACTCGCACGATATATGGCTGACCTGGAGCCCGCAGTTCGTGACCTCATCCGAGAGTACCACGACGTTTTTCCATTGTCGTTCTCGTACGCCGGCATCCCACCGATGTGTGACGTCGAGCACCCCATTCAGCTTGTGCCTTACTATCGTGTTCACCACCAGGCACCCTACAGACTCTCGATCCCCGAGGCCACCGAACTCAAGCATCAGCTTGAGGAACTCCTGAGACTGGGTTTCATTAAACCCAGCAACTCCCCGTGGGGTGCACCCGTCCTCTTTGCTCGCAAAGCGGATGGAACTCTCCGTCTCTACATCGACTATTGCGGTCTCAACTGCTACACGGTTAAGAACAGTTACCCCATGCCTCATTTCGATGAGCTGTTCGACCGCCTAGCAGGCAACCGCTTCTTTACGAAGATTGATCTTTGTAGCGGTTACCATCAGATCCGCGTCGCTGCAGCCGACCAGCCGAAGACCGCGTTCCGATCGCGATTCGGCCACTACGAGTTCACCGTGATGCCATTCGGCCTCACCAATGCACCCGCTACCTTTCAGAGGGCGATGAACGACATCATCAGGGACATCCTGGAGCAGTACGTTCTCGTCTACCTCAACGATATCCTGGTCTATAGTCGTACCCTTGAGGAGCACCTCAGACACCTCCGTGACGTCCTTGACCGCTTGCGCAGACATGGCTTCTATGCCAAGCTGAGCAAGTGCCGCTTTGCCCAGCACAAAGTGGATTTCTTAGGACACTACGTGTCTGACCAGGGTCTCCACATGGACGACGCGAAAATCACTGCTATTGCGGAGTGGCCCGCCCCCACATCCGCCAAGCAGCTTCGCAGCTTCCTAGGCTTGACCAGCTACTATCGTAATTTCATCCGGGGATACACTAGGTATTCCTACGTCCTTACCTCCACCCTCCTTCGGAAGAACCCACCCTGGGCTTGGACACCCCTCCACGAGGACGCCTTCCGCGCCCTCAAGAACGCGGTGACATGCGCACCAGTTCTTCACCTACCCGATTTTGATCGCCCTTTTATCCTTACCACCGATGCATCAGACTTTGCTGTAGGAGCAGTGCTTTCTCAGGTCTTCCCCTCCTCTCCTGATTCCTCTCATCCTCGTATCCCTCCCTTCCCACCACCTACCCTTACCACTGCTTCCCGACTGACGCCTACTCGTCCAGCTACTGACGAGCCTTCTATTGACTATTCTCCTACCATTGCCGAGGACGGCACTGTCGAGTCTCGCTCTTGCCCGCCGAGATAAACTACACCGTTGATGAACGTGAGGTTCTCGCAGTAGTTTATGCCGCTCGACACTGGCGTCACTACCTGCACGGGGCACCGTTCACGGTGCGTACGGACAACTCTGTTGTCCAGGCTTTTCTAACAAAACCGAAGCTCACTCCTCGACAGGCTCGCTGGTGGCGCGACCTCTCCGAGTTTAGTTTCACCACTGAGCACATCAAGCGTGAGACTAATCGGGTCGCAGATGCCCTCTCCCGGCGCCCTGACCACGACCACGAGCAGATCCAGCTCTCTTCCATCTCGATCACCACCGTCCACCACTTGGTGATCGACGAGTTTCGCACTCAGTACCGCCACTGCCCCGACTATCGCGACATCCACGCGACCCTTCGGAGTGGCAAGACCGTCCCGACCTACTCTCTCGGGGACAACGGTTTTGTGTACTGGCACGGTTCACAGGGCACCAGAGAGCCCCGTATTTGCCTTCCCTCCACTGGACAGCTACGTGTCCGAGCACTAGCAGAGTTCCATGACCCGGCAGCCGCCGGTCATATGGGTTTCCACAAGACGTTGGCTCGTGTGAGCCGCCTGTACGTCTGACCGAAGCGCAAGGACTTTGTGAAGGACTACGTGGAGAGTGTCCCACCTGTCAGGAGGTGAACAGTGCGAACCACTTGCCTTATGGTTTGCTCCAGCCTCTTCCTATCCCTTAGGGTCGTTGGCAATCCATCTCGATGGACTTTATCGGTCCCCTTCGTCCTCCGACCCCTCGCGGTCATGATGCTATCCTGGTCGTCGTCGACCGCTTCACGAAGCGTGCACGCTTTGTTCCGTGCCGCTATGCCATCAGTGCACGTGAGGTCGCCGACATCGTGTTTGACCGAGTCGTGCGTGACCACGGCTTACCCCTGAGCATCATATCTGACCGTGACCCGCGCTTTACCAGCCGATTCTGGCGACGGCTCCACGAGGTGTACGGCACTCAGCTCCGCTTCTCCTCGTCTTACCATCCTCAGACTGATGGTCAGACCGAGATCACGAACATAACTCTCGAGGATATTCTCCGAAAGATTGTTTGTGACGACCAGCAGCGGGATCTCCATCTTGCCCACACAAAATAGCCTACAACCACACCGTCTCGCCAGCCACGGGGATGTCGCCTTACTATTGCGACCTCGGCTATCACCCTCGTGTTCCCGCGGACTTTCTTCGACCGTCTCAACTACACCCCGACAGGAGTTGTCCCGCGCTGGATGATTGGGTTGCACACATGACGTCAATCATGAAGACCGCACATGAGCACATAGCCGCTTCCCAGACTCGCATGGCAGCACGTGCGAACCGATCGAGAATGGATCATTCATTCAAAGTCGGTGATGATGTGCTTATCGACGCCCGCCACTTACAGCTCGAAGCGGACACGCTTCGCAAGTTTCGGCGTCGCTTCTTTGGCCCATGCCGCATCCTCCAGGCCGTCGGTTCTGATACGGCTTCTAGCCCGGTCAGCTTCCGTGTGAAGCTGTCCGACTATCTACGTCAGGCTCATGTGCACGATGTCTACCACGTCTCATTACTGCGTCCTTACCGAAGACCGTCTGAGCGTTTCGCTGAACGACCATACGAGCGCCCTCCACCCATCATGGTGGATGACCACGAGGAGTTCCTCGTTTCAGACATCATTTGTCGCCGAGTCACCAACGACAACCCTCCCCACGTCGAGTATCTCGTACGTTGGAAGGGTTACCCTGATGAGGAGGCCACCTTGGAGCCCCTCGAGCACTTGCAGCACGCTCGCATGTTGGTGCGTGCCTATGACCATGCTCGTCGTGCTGGGTTCACTGCTCCTCCTCAACCCATTGACCCTCCTCCTTCTCCCCCGGCTAAGGAGACCGCTGAAGTCGAGCCTGATCCATCTGAGGCAGACCTTCAGCAACAGTCGGATGCTTCTGAGCGTCCACAGCGCACTCGTCGTCATCCTGCTCGATACGACGATTGACTCTGACTTACCTTCCCACGTCCTTGACTTCTCAGTACTCCATCCACTCCAGTTTTGCTACTTCCGATCGTCGACGTTGCGACTCTTCCTCGACGGCATTCTCGGACTTCTAATCGTGGACGTCATCGACAGCTTCATGGACTTCGTCACGATCAGCTCTGTCTACTTCAGACGTTGCCACTCTCTTACCACTTTACCCTGTACAGTACCCTGCTTGTATCGCATGATGGTCTCCCTTTAGCCGGGTTCCTCTGAGTTGGGCTCTCCCTTGGTATACACATAGGCATCGGGACCGTAGCGTTGCCCTGGCTTCCCGTCTTACGGATCTAGCTCCGACTTCCCCACCTTAGGAGTCACCTGCATGATTCCCTTACCCATCATCTTTCTACCCTCTGCAGCCCTCACGCCCTGGTTAGGCAGCCCCGCATGCTTCATCTAGGTGCGCCCAGTATATCAGGCTCCCTTGTTCCCTTGCATGGTTGACCCTCCATAGCGGTCACCCCTTAGTCGAGCATTACCCGCCCTGATGGTCTATCGGTTAGGGTCATTGGTTCTGTTCGCTCCTAGTTCCCTACCCTCATTGAGCCTGATGACATGTGTCTTCCTGTTATCTATGTGTGGATGCCCTTAGGAGTTTTCGACCCGTGGGCTGCATTCGCCACCCTCAGAGACCATCCCACCCTTTGGTTTGCGACACACTTCTCCTGTGACATATGAGTGACTTGTTGTTGCTTTGTTGCTCTCAGACTGAGGCTACTGCCTCTGACATTTCTAGGATTTAGCTGTTCTGCTTTTGCTGTTCTTAGGACTTATACACTAGTCAGTTGTTCCCAGACTGAGGTTACTGCCTCCAACATTCTAGGATCTAGTTGTCACTACTTTCTGCTTTCCTAGGACATGTATGCTAGTTAGTTGTTTCTGCTTTCCTAGGATATGTATGTTAATTAGTTGCTTTTGCTTTCCTAGGACATGTATGCTAGTTAGTTGTTTTTGCTTTCACTTAGGCTGTTCGTTGTGACATTGCTGTTTTGTGACATTTTATATCTTAGGTTGCATCGCATGGACTCAGCATGGAGCTTGCTCCGCATCCTAGACTACTCAGGGTTTTTTTTTCTTTGGTAGAGTTCCGCTTCTTGGCGAAAGCATATTTGCATCTAGGCGATCCAGGGCGAGGATCGTGTAGCGGACCTCTGGTTGGCCTGTGAGACCAGCCCCTTGGCCTGTTCTCACATGCCTGTGTTCTATTCGGGGGCAGTCCAGTCCAGTCCAGGCCGGTACCTCAGTCGGTACCAGCCAGTCCAGTCCAGTCCAGTCAGTCCGCTGGGGTATACCCCAGCAGTTGTCTGTTTCGTCCTCATTCTTCACTTGCACATTTTTGAGTACGTGCGTTGGAGTCTTGCGTGGGGAGCTGCGTTGTGCCATCTCGCTCCCCCCCTTCTTCCTCCATCTCCATCTCTACCACTAGCGGAGCACCACACCTGGTGGGTCCGCTACACCTAAGCGGTGAACCATGGCCGTTGGGTATGGTACAGCAAGGCGTGGCCAAGGCACTGCACCTGCGCAGCCTACCCGATGCACCGCGCAGACGGACATTCCGAGTGTCCGCTGGACCCTACCCGTAAATACCTCCCCCCTTCCCTTGCGCGAACAGCCGCCACCACTTTCCCGCTTCAGTTTTGGAGTGTGGAGTGAAGGGTAATGTCGAATGGTGACAGGCTCAAGTATTTTTTAATGACGATTGCCCTGTGAGGCGGCTCAAGTGCGGCCCTTGAAAGTGAAGTGAAGTGAAGTGGTGTGGAACGAGGCCCTAACTTATAAGCTTTAATATTAGATTGCTCAAGGCAGACAATTTTATTCTCCTCTTTTACCAAATTGTGATGGCGACATAATTTTCGATGTTCGCTTCTCTATGCCACGAATGAAATTCCTGTTTGCTCAAGCCCCATGCGCTGCAACGATGCTTTTTATTAAGATAAACTAGTGGCTAAGCTACATCAATATGTAAACACACCCCTGTGCTCCCAATCACTACAAGATAGCCTAAGTCGGAATGCAAGGTAAGCTTTCCCCTAGTTAATCTCACTCCTCAAACATGCGAGACGAATTATTAAAACATGATTTTTTTCATAAAGAATACGCAATAGTCCGTCAATAGCATGCTACACACACTTCATTCCGCCTGGAGGATCAAGTCCGATGCAATTTCTTCATTCCCAAATTCGGCATAAATTTGCAGGTCAAGTCCTTGAATATCTTTCCCCTTGCATAGCTCTTGCGCACGAGTATAATGCAGGGAGTTGTATCACTCAACCCTTATCTTCAGGTAAGCGGCAACCCCCCCATAATCAACGTCCTCTTTGTCTTCAAGGGTGCCACGTTCTGCGCGAGGATGATATCCTCGGCATCCTCGATGGCATTCATCCCCGTAGGTCTGGGTTTGATGACCTTGCCCTTACCCTTTGATTTGCCCATCAGCAAGCATCCGTTCGATATCCAATAGCCCATTGCTACCCTCGTAGGACTGATGGTCCTTTTCCTCCCCTGATGTCGAAGGTACGCCATGTCCAGCGTCCAAATTCCCGACACTTGACTGATGATCGTTCATCTGCGGTGGCAATGGTGGTTGAGGAGCAGCAGCAAGGGATGGTGCTGGAATAGGTGCAGGTACAGCCCATTGGCGATTCATTGGCTGGTTAACAGCTGGAGGCCACGACTGTCCTCCCCATTTCCCTTCATGCGGTGCGATTGGTACAGGAGGAGGGACCTGTCCCCCTGCGTATGTCGCATTATAATACACTGGTGGTGTGACGTACAGTGGCAGCAACATACTTGGTACAGCCTGAGTGACTGTGCTCTGGCATACAGCACGGTGTACTGCTGTTGCAGCGGGTAATGTGGACCGAAATACTGCTGATTGGGATTCACCCCAGGGGGCAATGGATTAGGAGCAGCCGCATCATTCCCTTACATGTAGTAGCGCCCGCAATTTGACCACTTCCCTCTCCTGTTCGCCGATTTGTCCCCTCTCCCTCTGCCATACATGCGGCTGAGTACAAATAAGGAAGCAATCCCACAACCACCGCCAAGCCCAACCAACCAATCGCGATACCTTGACTCTATTCACATGTGTGTTAGGTGCATTCAACCATGCAAACTTCAGCGTAGCAGCAATACAAACATCGATCCACAACAAATCACCAAATGACCAAGAAAAAGAAGAGGAAGAGGAAGAAGAAGTAAACGAAGAAAAAAAAGAAGAAGAAGAAGAAGAAAAAGGAGAGGAGGAAAAACACCAGGATAAAAGAAGTTCTCCCGGACGCAACTGCAAAAAATCAGAATGAAGTACAGATGGCATGACCCGACTATAGTTTCGACTGGCCGCCACCAGCACTCGTCAGGGATCTTCATCGGTCGTGAGGTGTCTAGCTAATGTAGACGTAACTCTTTTATATCCAGTGTTCTAACTTGAAACTGTAGATCGACTCAATGACCCTAGAAAATGTCAAGAATAGAAACGTTTACACAATTCCACGTACCGCAGTTAAGGCCGAGTTTCGAACCTCCAACCTTCCGCCGAAACAGTCTTTAGGACTGGAACACAGTATCAATGACCAAAAAGCATATACCCCAAGATTGGAACTCGCGGGTTAATACCGACTTACAACTCTTCAGACCCCGGGACCGAAACGTGCGGGTTAATACCAACTTTCGAATATGCAGACCCCGAGACTGAAACCCGCAGATCATATCATGTGGTCCGATAAAGTAAGCCCCGGGACCAGAAACCCCAAGTCCCGGGACCTAAACAAACTGCAGAACCCAGGACCATCGTCCACCCGAAATGTGTTGTGTTTCATCGCGTCCATAGCAATCGACCCCACAGCAAGCCTACGGAAAAAACTCCGAGCTATCTCCATGCCCGACTGTAACAACAAGAGACAACATCACTTCCTCATCTCATAAAACGTCCCCAATTCGTAAGGATTGGAATCCAATGCTCCCCGCAATGAGCAAACTTCCGCGAGAAATTGATCAAAGTTTTGTCAAAGTAGCAATCAGGATAACCACACAACCATAGTTCGTGCTTCAGCATGAATAAAAAGGGAAACTCAAGTCCTGGAATGGAGGTATACGTTCTGGCACGGTGTAGAAAGGAACCAATAACAACAAGCTTTTGTTGTTTGCACGAAAAAGATGAGAAGTCTTGGATGCTTTGGAAGATAAGCGGTCGATTGACCTCACCTTCCTGATTCTTGTGTTTTGCCATACATACTACTTTGCAAGGATCAGTCAAAATCATTATCCCACATCCAATAAACTCCCACTCCTGCGACACATTAGTCTGTACGAGATCAAGTGCCTTATCATAACAGGATCGAAACTCCTCCATAATTCGATCAGCCACCGTCTGAGAGAGATGATCTGACACCCGGAATTTGACGAAAAAATATACATCATCCACAATCCTGTATCCATACACCAACTTCCGTTGCATCTTCAAGGAAGATAAAAATAAAAATTCATTAAAAGCACAAAGTAAACAAGCTAATGCAAGGCTTGTTGTATTCCCCATGGTAATTCCCACGATCTGTCAAAATAATCTCCCTGACACACGGACATACGAAATGTCCAGATCATACCGAACGAATTCAAAAATCTTCGAGAAACTTAGCCGAACCCAACCAGATTCACCCTTTGCTCTTGTCAATCTGACAACTCGGTCGCGCATGCGAACCAACACTGCAAAGAAACCTTCGCTGATCCAGTAATCCAAGATCTATCAAACAGCGCGCAAAATGAAGAAATGAGGTAAGTTAGAGAACATCTCCTTGATGTCAAAAAATCCTCCCACAAGTAATTCGTCATTCGTCAATTTCTTGTTAAAACCATCAATCCTCTTCATGATATCGGCGATGCTTTTCATATTGAAATGCATATCCTCCGGTAACAAATAGTTAACCGCTCTCACAACACGTCTTCCTCCCATAACAGACCCCTCAAAATGTGATGGGCAAATTGGACGCCACCGATTCACATCCTTGTGTTTCGGCAAACAGTAGGCATTCCCAAATGTGACGTGTCTGTTCCATTTTCCAAACTTACAAAATTTATGCTCTTCATACTGCGCCTTACTACTAGCCAAGTTAGCCAACACATCAGTTTCTGGTTCAGACACGAGCATAAAGGAATTGTTCTCGAGAAATAGTTGTTGCATACCATCACCATATACCACAGGGCAGCAAACAAAGGTATCTCCGAGATTATGGTCCATAGGACAACATACCAAGTTGCATAACCGAGGCAACTGCTGGTTAACTACCCCTTCATAAAACCCCATGCACTCAAAGTCAAGTGATACCGCCGGTTTCCTATCAAGAAGGCATGAGGCAAAGATATCATCGTCGGACGACTCCAGCCGTAACGGAGGAAAAATATCATAGGATTTGAAGGAGCCAAGGATTTGTCATTTGAGGTGCGACAAATGATTCATCTCCACTGGTCGCAGCACGTTCTTTAAGTTCTACATACAACAAGGAAATAAGTCAACGGAACTGACGCGAAACGAAACATGCCCATCAACCCGAGGGAACAATGCATCAGCATCGTAGCATCGACATGCATAGTCACCACTCCTAACCACTTTCCGAAAGCTCTGCACCAAATCACCCACTGATTTGTTCTTACACCACACCACACGCATTCGTCACTAACATGTCCTTCCATGTTGGTTCGATATGTAATCTGCGAATCATATGAGCAAACACCTTTCATATGGTCGTCTTACAATACCAATCATCATAGACCACGCGAATTACTGACCTCTGTCTGACGTTAATGCCGAACTACTTACAAATCTCACTAGAAAGAATCATACATAATCTGCTACGAGTACGTTTGTCTTGAAAACACCAAACGGCAGAAAAATCATAAACCAACTGACTGAATTCCCAAGAAACCAACTGTCTTCGTGTCGTAGGATGACTGAGCAACTGAACCAAACTAGCTTTCAACTTCAAAGATCTGTTACAAAATGGGACAACCAATTCAAACACTACTACAGCGCCGTCAACCAGTCATCCTTTCGAACACCTCAACTGATCTCTGTCACCATGGAATGCAACTATGGACAACCCATAACATCTGCAAAGTACCTTCCACTTATCTACCAACAATGGACCACCACGACAGACAACCACCACCCGATTAATCGAGCAATCTCGACAGTAATTAAGTATGCGAAGCAGATTAGAAGATGAAACTCCACACGAGGCACGAAAAGATAACACAGAACTATGGACAACACAAGTCACAGCCAACCCGGATCTCTTTTTTCTCTGCACCCTCTCCCTTTGTCCCAATCGTCGTCGCTTACCTTTCCTAGGCCAATCCTTGGCATTCAATGCCGCTGAATCGAATATAAAAACGATCATTACCGATCAAATCTTCCTTCGTGCAACCACAATTAGGAATCGCAACATATCTCTCCGCACCACATCAACGAAGCCAACAGTACAAGCGTTCATTCCTCCTTCCCTTACCACTTAACGTATCACTACATGTCCGATACACGTGCTCTACCCATCTAGTACCCAAATCTTGAGTCGTACTTCCCATGTACAGGTGCCGATGCCAGGGTGAGACCACTACATACACAACTAGACCACTGATAACTTCTCCATCAACCCACCACTTCAGAAAGCAAGACAACTTTTGTGCCCAAGAAATCGAACCACATAAGATCAAAGCAACTACCACCACTCTAAAAAGAGCATCAACCTTCTTACATCGAAGATTAATAATAGAAGTGGAGCGAAATCGAACACAAGCATTAGCTATCAACCACAAACGCGTCACGCTCGGGAGGGACCCTAAGAATCTGCGAAGTCCCTCCCATCATCCTTATTGTCATCACCGGTATCCTTCGATACCTCGTGAACAACCGCTTTCTTTCTGTACACCCAACGGTACTGTACTTGATCCCCTCTTTCATGCAAATTCCCACCAAGTCGTCTTTCTTCTTCTTGCCAAGTTCTTTTCGAGCTTCTCTTAAGAAAATGTCCCTTTCTCACGACCCTTTGGCTATCCGCGTCCACTCTTCGCAACCGAACCACCTGCTGCATCCAAACGTTGTTGGAAGACGGACTTCGGTGCCTCTCGTTCTGCATCACGCTTAGCAAGTTTTTCTTTCAGTCGAGCATTCTCCTGTTCGGCCTCGCATCGCCGGTTCAACTCCTGCAGTCGCATCTCCTTAAGAGCGTTGACTTCCAACGTATGCAATTGTGCCAACTGATTTGGGTCAACGAAAGGTCTCTCCAAGGTTGACTTCCGGGGTGTAGTTAAGGGCATCTTCAGTTGAGACGATAGAGACGTTGCCAACCAGCTCCGCTTATTACCATATCGAAGTGCCTCCTTCTTCCAAATTTCTGCCTCCTGCAGTGCATGTTCATGTTGCTGTTTAACCGCCTTGACTGACTCTTCCAACAACTCCACGCGTTTGTTAACCACCGCTGCCGTCTCAAGTTTCCCCTTCATATCCTCATGCTCTTGCATCATCTTAGCAAGCAGTGCATCATCACGAATAGGAGGTCTACTCGTAGAAGCACCATCGTTCCTGACTACCGTACTCTGCGCCAATTGTAACTTCTCAATTTCCTTCAATAGCTTCTCCATCGTAGGCGCGCCGTCATTACCACTGCGCTTCTGACCATGTACTACTTCGTACATCTCATCTAGCCTAGCATTCATCGCATCGTGGAGCTTCTTGTTGAGAGCTTCCCTTTCCCTCTTTTCATTCAATCGACGTTCTTCTTCTTCCTTCTCCGTCTGCTTCCCTTTCCCTCTTTTCATTCAATCGACGTTCTTCTTCTCCCTTCTCCTTCCTTACTTTCTCTTCTTCTTCTCTACGTGCTACTTCCTTCACTAGGCCGCATCATACCATGCTTTCATCTTTCCCACAGAGTCCTCAAGTACGACGACACGCTGGTTCAAATTGGTCCACCCTGTTCCTTTAGAGTATTGACCAGTGCTGCTTCCAGATACAACTCCAACATTCGGCTGAGGAGGAGGAGGAGGAACAGACGTCGAAGGGGGCGGAAGAGCAAGGATAGGAGTCCGTCCAGTAGTAACAGCAGTACGATTCACATTCGTCGTCGCAGTCTTATGAGAGCACCATCAAGCGAAATGATTCAGATCTCCGCAGTTATAGCAAGTGCGTACACTCGAAGTCGAAGCCATCGTGGATGTCAACAGCAAATGGTACGAAGCCACACGTAACGTAGTCTAACCTCTACAACGGTTACTCCGTGTATGCAGTGTGTTAGGTGCATCCAACCATGCAAACGAGTGAAAAGAGACGGGTGACGGCGCAAGTGACGTAGCCTTAACCACCCTATTACGCAATCTTCCAAATTGTCGTTCACCGCCTACAACCCTTGATTCAGTGCAACTAGAAATACAAGATTGGTCTTTCCAGTGCAACAAAGTCACTGTACTGTCGAGCCTTCAATCAGGCTACTTCGCAAGCAGTAGTGCAACAAAATCGAACACCCATATCAATAAGATCAAGCAGCACACAAGGCAATGACGTGCCCTTGTACGCCATGCACAATCTTCCGGCCCGCCGTGCGCAGTGCAACAAAATCACTGTACTGTCGAGCCTTCAATCAGGCTACTTCGCAAGCAGTAGTGCAACAAAATCGAACACCCATATCAATAAGATCAAGCAGCACGCAAGGCAATGACGTGCCCTTGTACGACATGCACAATCTTCTGGCCCGCCGTGCGCTGTCGGGTACTTCCGCACGGTTAAAGATTCTTGATACCTTCACAAAAAGGATCTGATGTCCACGTCAGCAGAGATATTACACGTGTTTCTCTCCACATATGTGGGCGAGATACACTACTGCCACTCTTTCGAAGAGGCAACTCCGTGTGTGTAGCGCAATTGACACAATTGCTTGCAAGAGTCACACAGTATGACAGCGAAAGAAGGCAGCCACTAGAAATGCAAATTGCACAGGGCAATCAGATGAGATATCTTACAGTTGGTAAGAATTTTAGAATAGAATAAACAAATCGCCATAATGAAGATAACATAATAAGATGATAAGATTCAAATGATCCGAATGATCAATAAACACTATGGACAAACTCACATTAGTGACAACAGCCCCTCGTTTTCATTCCCAAGAGACGCCAACGTCAAAACTGAGGCTCCTGTCCATGAGAGAACAGATTAACATAATATGATACTAAAAGAAGAAGATGCCTTCAGCATTAATACCAGCTATACCCCGTCCCATCACCCGACTTGTAGCCTTCTTTTAATGAGGATAGCCTGAGAATGACCGCTATAGCTTTTCACCCCTTTCCAGTTCCAGCCCCCCACAGAACAATCCGTTGTTGCCTCTTCAGTCTGCTGCTGACCGCCATATTGAAAGTATCATCTCTGGCATAGCCCCGCTTGGTGATGTTGCCCCTACTCCTTCCCAAACCACTGTGGCTGAACTATTGCATTTGCTTGCGGGGGGAACATATCTGGAAAATATTTTGGCGGTTGCAGCGGGATTGCTGGGTCCATCCTTGTCCATGCATAGACATTCGAGGCATCGTCTTTTGTGACGAATTGCTGGTCCAACTCCTCGCCTCCTTTCCACTGCACCTACACCATCATCTACTCTCACAACCCGTTTAACTTAATGGACTACCCAACCCCTATCTGTAATTGTATACCTACTCGGTCCCACAGGCGCCTGGTGGAGGACCGCAAAATTATGCTCATGCCCAGAAACAGGGCAAGTACAATTGTGGTTGTACCCATGCAGAGATGGCATTTCGAATGTGAAATGCACACCCCACTCTTCCCTCGTCCTTCTCGTCTTCCCCCTCCACCTTGCCTTACAAAGATAACAAAAGAGAGAGAGAGAGAGAGAGAAGGAGAGAGAGAAGAAATAAGACAGGGAAGAAGGGAGAGAGGGAGAAAGAAACGCCTAAGGTGTGCGAGTAGAGGAAGAAAACATCTTACTTTCTAAGAGAGAAAGAGAGAAGGGCAATCAGGGAGAGAAGGAAAAATAACAGGTGAGGGAGAAGCGCTGAGGTATGGACAGGAATAACCTCTTACTTTATAAGACTTGCCACGTCAGACATAAACTGTGTCTCGGATTTTGAAGTGGAGCCATCATCTGATGCAATTGCAGCAGAAGACGAGGCTGCTGTTTCATCTACCTGCCCTTCCACATCAGTGGATGCAGCGTACACTAACCCTTTCCCTCTGAGTCCGCTGCTGCAAAGACGGCACTCATTCAATCAAATGAACAGCAGTCGAGGGGAAAAATATGGCCACCTCTACTCATCTTAAAGAAACAAACTAGTTTAAAACTCAACATATTGGCTATATGCAGTTTCAACAACAACGGAGAGACTTGGAAAAGGAGAAGACCAAAGGTGGAGGAACAGAAAAATCACAAGCCCAAGATGCACAGAAACCATTGACAATTACCTGAATTATGTCACATTACAACAGCGATCGTGATTACCACCCAGTATGTCACCATTACAACAGTGATGATTACTACCCAATTTTACGGCAGCCACAGATTTTTGGCAACCAGTCAGCCATGTACGTCTGCAGACTGCCAACTGTGGAATGGGATTGGGGATAATCTTCTGTGGCCCCGTAGCATATCAGCATCATTGTCAATTGAGAGGCTTCACCAAGCCAGTGACTGACTGGTCAGATGTTACCAGTAACACCCAGATCCACTCAAACAGATCATGGGCCTATGAGGGTAGCCACATCATGGAAGTCAGTGCAGCCACATCACAGTCAGTCAGTACTATTCCCAGCCTTGGACCTCCTCCATGGATGCACGGATTCAAAGCGGCACCCTCACCCCAAGAGCCAAGTTTCTTAACTACAGCCATGGCACCATGTAAAAAATGGAACCATACCGTTCGTGATATCCACCTCACCCCTGCATGGCTGTAGTGTCCTTATCTTACACCACACACACATTTATGGATGGCTGTAGTGTCCTTACCTTACACCACACACACACATATATGGATGGCTGTAGTGTCCTTACCTTACACCACACACACACATATAACTCCACCCAGGCACGTGTCACGCACCAGCTCCATCAAGAACATGACCTCAAACCATGAGGGCACACAGCCCCATTCACAATATCCACAACGTCAGACTAAGGGGGCCCGACCGCCAACGGCCACCACATTCCATTCACAATTTCCAGGCTGGCCACTGGGCTTGTGAGCAGTCAAATCACAGTCCTGGAAGGTCAGCCAAACCGTGGCAGGATGCAGCGGCAACCCTTCTTAAAACTCACATATATCATACTAGTAGCCTGATTTGGGCAAGTCACAGCCAAGCCCAACCCGTTGTGATCGGTTCTCTCTCTCTCTCTCTCTCTCTCTCTCTCTCTCTCTCTCTCTCTCTCTCTCTCTCTCTCTCTCTCTCTCTCTCTGTGTGTGTGTGTGTTGTCTTGTTCGCATGTGTATGTGTACGCGCTGCTAGAGTCATCACACTCTGAGCATCAAGAAGAGGCCTCGAATTGTGAGCATTCACAATGCTTTGATCTTCTGCTCTTGGATTCTTTCCAGAGTACCATTGGAAACAGGAAAAACTACCTGCCACACACACACACACACACACACACACACACATATTGTTCGTTCGCAGCACAGACCTTGCTTATCATTAGCTCAGGTCACAACACACACCTTGATGACTGCTGAGGTCATACGTTCAAGAAGTGCCTCGCTTAAGGGAAGTGGAAGAAAAGCCACCACAAAAACTGCAATCCTCGAATACTTTATCTGAGCTGGATACGAGCTGAGCAGCCTGATGCAAATGAGTCAGATATTCATTCAACGGGTTGTTTCATTTTCCAGAAACGAGTTTTGATGGCCTGGGCATCGCCATACGACGCTGCAGTCGGTATTCATGATTATTCAGGTGCTGGGAACCATGGCCCGAGAAGGTCGGGGGGAAGGAGAATCTGGCTCATCTGGAAGTTAATCAAGCGTCTCTCTCTCTCTCTCTCTCTCTCTCTCTCTCTCTCTCTCTCTCTCTCTCTCTCTCTCTCTCTCTC